TCTTGTGCTTATACAAAATAGTCCTCTATGCACTGGAGCTGTGATCCAAACACACTTCTGTTTGTCCTAGCTAATGAGGACAAAACAGAGCCATCCATAAGGGACAGAACAGCATAGTAACATGCCCTTGAGAGAATACTATTAAAATATCATGCTGCCAACTATTACATTATAGTTTAGCATTTATTTCACAGTATATACAGAGTTCAAAATACACTGGAAGAAACATAAAACAAAGTAGTTTACATAGAAAACTCATTATAGAAAGCTATCTAAGATATTGTATTACTAGCTCAACCACTTAATTAAAAAGAAAAAGTGAAAAGAGAGGGCCAGGTCCTCTGGTTCAGCTGAGCAGTACAGCATAAGACTCAGGGAAAGGTGGCTTACAGCCTCCTTGAACCCACCGAGGCCTGTATGTTTATTATTACATTCATATTTGTGTTTCAAAATATTAATACAGTAGTCTCTCCTTTTATTTGTCTACCCTCTGACATGTATTCCTCTTCCCTTCTCCACTGTTCTTTCTGTATCCGTTCTGGCTCCATTTTCCTCCTCCCATCTTCTGCACAGTATCAGGCTTGTGGGGAACCCATTACTCTCTACTTTGTTCCTCCTATCCCACTCATCACAGCATGACATAAGCAATCCGTCTTTCTCTGTTCCAGGCTCCCACACACCTTGTGGCAACAGGCCTGTAAAATGCACTGTTTTGTGTCCCACTCCTCACACACATCATGGACGCAGGCTGCCAAAGACACTCTTCCCTGCATTGCCTCCCCACATGCCTAGTGCTAGACACACATAGACATGCCCCACGTGCATACTTGGCTTCTTTTCTTTCCTGAGCTGCTACTTGGCTCCTCTTCTTCTGGCAGCTGTCTAGCTCTTCATGGAGGCATCTAAGCTCCTCCTTCAGATAACAGCTGGTTCTACCAGCAACTCTTCCCCCCCAGGCCAAATGACCTGCCAGCATTCTGCAGACCATTGTGCTAGACCAATGATGTGACAATGCAATTGGTTTTGCCTTAGGAGTGATTTAAAAGGGCTACTTTTATAATGCTCTGTGCAACTACCTACACTAAGTACATTGAGGCTTGGTTCAAAAAACACTGTACCAGTAGTCTCCTTTTATAGAGCAATATTTGCATAAACATATTAAGGCATTTCATGAGCATGAACCATAAAATGTCTCTTTAGTTTGGTGTGAAACACAAACAAATGCTAAGTGAGGCTGTGGTCTCTGCTGGCAATAAGGTTCACTGTTGAAACCTGGCAGCACAAGGTGACTTGCAATCTTCTTCTTTCATATGGCTTGGGTAAGTAGCAACAACTACACATTTATATCTAAGTTTGATAGCCAGCACATTGCCACAGCAGTGAGCTGCTGAATGTCCTTCAGGCTCCCGGTAAAAGAACAAAGGGGACATTCAGATATGATGTGCTCTATCATTTGTGCCTGGTGACCACAGTCGCACACAGGTGTTTGCCTTATTTTCCATTTAAAGAGGGTTTGTCCACATCTCCCATGAGATGTCCTGATGCAAATCAATCTCCACCAGTCTTTCCTACATAAATCAAAACCTGGTGGGTTCTCAACAGGATCAACAACGAGATTTTTTTTTGAGTTGTCAAAGAGCTCCATGAAGTTCCTTGACCCCATTGCTGGTATATCCACAGTGTATAGATTAAACAGTACTGGGGTCAGGGCAGAGCCCTGAGGGATGCCCGAGTTAAATGTTCTTGCTCTACTGATTCCTGGTGTACCTTAAAGTGGGGGTCCCCAGTTACTGCAGCCAAGAGGCGTATCGTTCGCTGGCAGTGAATGATGTGGGAGACCTTGAGGAGGAAGCCCTGTCACCAGACTGTATTGCATGCCAAGGACAGATCAACAAGGGTGATTCCTGTCTTCAACTTGCATTGGAATCCTGCCTTAATGTGGCTGGTAAGTGAAACTACTTGATCACCGCAGTTCCTCTTTGGGCAAAATCCTGTTTGCTCCACTTGGAGAGGGTCTTCAATAATATCAGACAGATGGTGGAGCAGTGCCCATTCCATGATCTTGCTGGTGGTTGAGAGGAGAGAAATGGGGTGGTAGCTGGCTGTGCCCTCTGGGGGTTTCCCAGGCTTCAGTATGGCAACCATTGTTGCCTGTCACCAGCTTGCTGGCACTTCTCTGTTTCTATGCACAGCAGTAAAAAGCGCTGCCAGATGTTCCTATCCTGATCTCCCCAGATTCTTGAGAAACTCTGGAGGAATGTCATCCACCCCTGAAGCTTTCTGGCTTTTGGTTTCCAACAGCTCAACATCGATCTCCTCGACAGAATATGGGGAAGAGAGTGGGGATTCCTCCCAGCATTGTTGAAGGTTTCTGCAGAGTTCCCGCTGGACCTCCTGGTGTGTAATCTTGTCTGTCGGTGTCTTGCTGTTAGAAAGAAGATGAGAGGCAACAGCATTTGCTGTTACCTTTTGCTGAGCATTGCATTACTGGCTGGGATACTCCAACTCACCACAAAAGAGCCCATATCTTATGGCTCGAATGGGTGAAATCAAGTCTTTCAACGGTCTCTTTCCCTTTCCACCTTTCCAGGCGTACCGACTTGCAATGTCATAAAGGAACAGTGGGGGCAAACTGAGCCAGTCAGCCAGAATCAGCATCCTACTCAGATAAGCCAGAAACAAACAAATGACATTAAATCTGCACAGTAATATTTTAAGAAGCAGTATCCTCCCTAACCAGGAGTTTACCTACCAACCTTAAAAGCTCCAAAGCTAAGGTTGTCCCTTCATTTTGCTTGGCCTTAAGGGCAGTTCCCTAAAAGCCGCCTTTTTGATTTTCTGTGCTACAATGAATTTGGTTCATTGTTACACTCAGAGGTGTTTATTACTCTGAGCATTTCATAGGAGAGTGGGAACAGTACTCAAGTAATTTGTATTAACTTCTTCCCATTAGGAAGTCTTGATGTACTGTAACATGCCAGAATTCTGTTTTCTAAATATTTGTTCTGTTCGAACAAAAATATTTTGAACTCCCAACCAGCAAAGACAGTCTTCCTTACATCTTCAACAATCACCAGTCAGAAAAAGATAGGATGTGGGAATAAATTTATTGAAGTTTTTTTGGGGATCCCACTCCAAACCCGTTGCTATAAACATAAGTTAAATATAATTGTTCAAAAATGCATTTTTGTATCGGACAGGGAGAGGAGTTTATTCTGCTCTTAAAAAAAAAAATCAGAAAGTCACTCATCACAGACAGAAGGAAGTTATACTAGTGGTCCTTTGGTAATATAGCCTGATGCTGAGATGCTAGAGAAAAGCTGAGAAGTAATGGTGCAACATTTTGAAAGCCAAGAGATGGCAGGGGGTATTCTATTAAACCTGTCAACTAGTTGAGATCTTCTGCCCAGAAATCAAGTTGAGGCATAATAAAAGCATTGATTAGCTTGTCAGCATTTAACTGGAGTAACAGAGGCCATTATCTGCCATATCTCTGAGAGGAAAAAGTGATATTTAATAAGAAAATTCAGACGATCAATAAAATCTGAGATTAAAAACTAATGAAACAAGACTCAGGGGTAAAATAACTAGACCTTTTGATATATGAGAAGAAAGGTCACAGTACCTTCTGTAAAAGAGGCATGGAGACTAACATCACTTTACTCATCATTACTATTAATATTTATTATTATTGAGATTCAAGCTAAAAATAGATTTTCTGCTCTGAAGAGCCATAAAATCTTAATAAACATCAGACTGTGTAATGTATTGGCTAAAGTGTGTTCATCCTCTGGAGCTGACTTGCCAAAAATAAAGCCAACAGGGACCAGAAATCCTTGTCAGTGAACAAACTGATTTTAAGAGGTAGTGGCTTATAATTTTGGAAGTGAGCACCATGACAGTATTCAAACTTATGCACAAACAGTTAGGTGCCCATATGCATCTATAATATTAAACTATAATATTGTATTTTGTTTATTTCAATATTCCTGCTTGGCTACTACCTGAAGGTACACCTAAATTGAAATCAGAGGTGTGACTCCACACATGTAGACATTCCTGAGCTAGCTGTGATCTCTCTGGCTCAAATAACAGCAACAGTGAAGCCATGGCAGCATGGGCTGGCTGTTTGTATGCATATCCAGGGTCCTGGTGAGCTTGTACAGCCTGTGCTACCTCCTGAGTTGCTCTGGCTTCATTGCTATTATTATTTGAGCTAGATAGATCAAATAATATCTCAGGTATGTCTACCAGTACTGCAGTCGCACCTAGGACTGCAGTGTAGACATGGCTCGCACCGTGATAGTTCCCACCAGAACATTAAAAAACAAAGCCATCTTTGTTGGCTAAATATTAAAGTGGTTCAAATTATGTCCTAATAAAACAATCACTAACATTATGGAACTCACTGGCTAAATCATCTTCACAGATCTCAGCTCGTGTTTTATTAATCAAGCATCTGAGAAGTCAGACACACTCAGACTCCCCCAGGTCTACTTCAAACCGTTTTTCCTTTCAGTTCTGACATATGATGAAACACATGCATGCAGTTCCTCACTCTCTAACATGCAACGTGACCTCATACTTTTTTTTTAAAAAACACGTGCAGTTTTTACCACTCCATGTAGCTCTATCAGGAATGTATCTTAATTTACCTGTGATCAGATTGTATGGCTGAGTGTACATTTTTCTTAGGTTAACAAAAATGTAAAATAACTCAATATTGCAATTTAAAACAAATCTAAACTGACATTTGAGTGCAAAATGGCTTTAGAGTGAAGAAGTGTGTGCACTGAAAATAGGATTGCCACCTGACCAGTTTTTTAACCAACATTGAATCAGATTTAATGTGCTGTGATTTTTTTTTTGCTCTCCCCCTCCTTACCCACCATGAAGGTGAAGGGGGAGGAAATGTTCAGCAGAGACTTCCCAGGGGGCTGTCTCTTTAAAAGCTGGGCCTCACTCAGAGAATTTGACTGCCTTCCCTTCTTTCACGGCAAGCCTTGGAGTCAGCCAGACCCTCTAGTTGCAGTCTTGGTAGGAGAAAAAGGAGGGTGCAGTGGTTGTTCTGCCTTCTTGAGGCTTTGACAAGGGCCTGGTGCCACCTTCCTCTCTGACCAGATATGGGCCTGGGGAATGGCCAGACTGGGAAAGGTAAGAAGCAAAGAGGCCTTGGACAATCCCCAGCCCTCCACCTGCATAGCCGCCTATCTGAAGGGGGCAGAGGAGGGTCAAGCTGGTGGTAGACAGTGGCTGTTTTTTTCTGCATCTCAGAGGTGGCAACCCTAAATGGAAACTACATACCAAATTACAAGCTATTATGTTAAATTTCTGGTGTTTTCCTGCTCCTGCTTGCAAGCAGGGGCTCTGTAGGGATGTGTGTGATCAGGGCTTAGCCGCAGTAGGTTATCAGACAAAAAGCCTAGAGGTGAGCTGTGCTGAGTTGTGCCTTACTGTTTTAGGGAGCTGCTTGCTTTGGCTCTCTCTGTTTTGGGGTCCTTGTGTGTGATTATTTTGAATTCTAAATTGTAAGGAATAAAGTAGTGTTACACTGCAACCTTTCAGCAGGGATGGTGTCCCTAGCCTCTGGTTGCCAGAAGCTGGGAATGGGTGACAGGGGATGGATCACTTGATGATTACCTGTTCTGTTCATTTCCTCTGGGGCACCTGGTATTGACCACTGTCAGAAGACAGGATACTGGGCTAGATGGACTTTTGGTTGGACCCAGCATGGCCATTTTTATATTCTTATGAGTATTTATGGCTTTATCTATGGTGAAACATAACAAAGGAGATCAGAGGAGAAAGTAAGATGCTCAGATAATATGTAGGTGGGTTCATATATTTACCTAGATAGACAGGCAGGGAGTTGGGATAGGCAAGAGGATTGGGCAGGTGTGGTACTACTAACTATCCCTAATGCTCAGCCCAAATGTATACCTCCCACCCTCTCCATGTTCTTTATCTTTTCTTTGATGTTTCAAGCCTCCAGAATGGAATCCCATTCCAATAGTCCACAATAGAATGGGCTCTCTTCTGGAGAAATACAAGAAGTTTGCCAGATGAAGAATTTGCCTCTTAATGGAGCTGCTTGCACCATTTCTCAGTCAGTTTGGGATGCAACTCTCCCTTTCATCTTCATCTTCTTGCTCCCTGCCCTCCTCTTGCTAATACATGCTAAGATATGGTGAGAGGAAGCAGGGTTAAGAAGAGAGTTTTAGGTGAAATGCCTGAGGAATGCAACTTGGCTAGTGAGGCAGCTTCTGCATCTGGTGAGCCTCCTGTGGACCTTAGCAGGCACACCAGAATGGCACTACTACTGCTGAAAAGTGTCACATTTCAGGGAAGCTGGGGGAAAGCATAGATGATGAAGGAAGGCAATGAGGTGTACAGGATAAGAAGCTTTCACGAAAAGGAGACTGGGGCCAGGTAGATAGTCAGGAGGGCAGTATTGAAGAATGGAAATAGCTGGTAGTTCTGGACATTTCTTTCTGTTTCTCCATGTAGTTCACATTGGGTATGGCAAGTAAGGAGCATGTGAGTGTGTGTAAGTGTAAAATTTGAAAAGCACCTTATGTCTGAGATCTAAAATGAATGTATTTATGGGTGATGCTTGGAGTGTGTGCTGATTGTTTTTCTTTAGCTAAGCAAAACAAAGAGGAAAGAGAAACCATTTAAAAATATTTCCTCTGTGAAAGTTAGTAAATATTTTAACAAACAATTATAGGAAACAGAATTGTCCCTTGAAGAGCAATTGTGTTAAATTTGGAGTGCAAATTCAATCTTTAAAGTATAAAATAGAGTGATTTTGTTTCTGCTGTGAGTGTAAATCTAAATGTAAACTTAATACTATGGAGTACTACTGAGGGTTCCATGAAACTTGACCCATGCTACTTTAAAATAAATGTTTTAAATACTATACCAGTCCCAGGTCACTTAATTCAAGGTTAAGGTACTTTTTTGAAAATGGATGGCTGGATCCTGCACGGCGCTGCATGCTTCCAGGAAGGGGAAGATAAAGATGCTCAGTTCCTTGCAAGATCTTGCCTATTGTTCTGCATATCCTCAAATGGCTCCTGTAGCATATTTCAGAGATATTCCCATGTTACACATAGATTACCTCATCAAGTGCATATAACGGCTTCTTCCCTCCAGTCCTGAGTCTTTGCTCACATTGTGCACCCAGTTATCCTCAGGTTCCAGTCTGCATCTCGGATACAGTTACTCTCTTTGGTGCAGTTCAAATTCCTGCTTTCTTGCAAACATAAATACATATTTTTTAAAAATCCCAAAACTGCCATTGCTGGACTGAAAATTTCTCATCTAACTGGGTTTAAATTTAGCTTACATTTATTTTGTTTTCATTGGACTTGGTTTAAACTTGGTCTCTGCTGCTCCCATGGTTTCACCAAATTTGACATAAAAGAGTGCAGGTGAACTGACAGTAGAAAATTATGCCATGATAAAGTTATAAGCACATACCAAAGCTAATTATAATTTGATAACAAAGAAGCCTTTAATGGCCGAGGAGGAGAAGTTTACATGAACTAAAAGGAAGAGAAGAGAAAGAAAAGTCAGAAGCTATGATATAAAAGGTGACAGTAAATCATGAAACTTGCTTACTACCTCATTTCAGAAGCAGCCCTTTCATTCTTGTAGAGACCAGACTGTGACATAAATCATTAGGGAAGCCTGTTTTCCAGAGACCAGAATATATTTAGAGCAAAAGTAACCAAGAACAGGTGTTATTAAGGACCAGGTGCTACTGTCAGCATTGCATTCCATCTCTGTATATTTTGGCTTTATTTATACATTCAAGGGGTGGACAATTGCCAGCTGATCCTCATTTAAGTGTTCAGGCTTTCTCCTAACCTCCGGAAAGGGTGATTCTCCACAGATATGCAAAAAGCAAACATAATCTGCAACAAAACCTGCTACTGGTGTATGATATGGAGATAAACCAAATTTTAGGGATTATTTTCTTTAATGGTCATGTTTTGGCTCTTATAAAAAAATTGAAATTGTCAGTTATGACTAGCTTTTTCCCTCCAGAAATTATTCTAATTTTGTGCATGCATGACCATATGCACACCTGGCAGCAACTATCAGAACCTGTTTGTGTGTGACTCATTTCTAACTGCCTGATCTGTGCATGTATAGGTCTATTGGATTAATATGCAAGTGCCAATTTATATTCCACTTTGAGACCAGGGAAAATTCAGCCCATAATTTTGCCCAAAATTAATCTTTTATCAAGAAATTCATATATGATTAATATTTAAAAATGTTATAGGGTTGTAATATTGTGTTTTATTTTTCATTCCAGGAAATTAATACATTTATTATCTGAAGTGATGTCTTTACACTTTAAACAACAATCCTTGTTATTTATCTTTCAGGCTGGATTTAACCATGCAAGCACTGATATGGAAATGTATACTTGATGTTAGCTGCCTTGTCTATCATTATACATGTTTACCAATAACTGAGCAATTATTACAATTGCAGGGTAGTTGTATGAATGAAAGACAATAAAAAGAGAAGTGGGAAGGAGCATCCTTATTTGCTAATATCTGAGACATAATTGTTCATTAGCAAGCAGTCGGCAAAGTTTCATGCTGAGGAAGTACACAATCCAAATAAAGATTTTTGTTAGATCTACATAATTTCTCTTCTTTGTTGTACTGTGCCATAAATCCATAATATGCAAACAATTGAAGATAGGTGTTTTGAGAGAAAGCCCTGATATTTTGGAAGGATACAATGTAATATCATCAATGTACTTATTAGGGCTGTCAAGCCATTAAAAAAATTATTCATGATTAATTGTACTGCTAAACAATAATAGAATACCATTTTATTTAAATATTTTTGGATGTTTTCTACAGTTTGAAATATATTGATTTCAGTTACAACACAGAATACAAAGTATACAGTCATTTTATTTTTGATTACAAGTATTTGCATTGTAAAAAAAAAGAAATAGTATTTTTCAATTCACCTAATACAAGTACTGTAGTGCAATCTCTTTATCATGAAAGTTGAACTTACAAATGTAGAATTATGTACAAAAAACCTGCATTCAAAAATAAAACAATGTAAAATTTTAGACACTGCAAGTCCACTCAGTCCTACTTCTTGTTCAGCCAATCACTCGGACAAACATGTTTGTTTACATTTGCAGGAGACAATACTGCCCGGTTATTGTTTACAATGTCACCTGACAGTGAGAACAGGCATTCTCATGGCACTGTTGTAGCCGGAATCGCAAGATATTTACATGGCAGATGCCCTAAAGATCCATATGTCCCTTCATGCTTCAACCACCATTCCAGGGAACATGCGTCCATGCTGAAGACAGGTTCAGCTCAGTAAGAATCCAAAGCAATGAGAACCGACACATGTTCATTTTCATTATCTGCATCAGATGTCACCAGCGCAAGGCTGATTTTCTTTTTTTAGTTTCCGCATTGGAGTGTTGCTCTTTTAAGACTTCTGAAAGCATGCTCCACACCTCGTCCCTCTCAGATTTTGGAAGGCACTTCAGATTCTTAAACCTTGGGTCGAGTGCTTTAGCTATCTTTAGAAATCTCACTTTGGTACCTTCTTTGCATTTTGTGAAATTGGCAGTGAAAATATTCTTAAAATGAACAAGATGTGTTGGGTCATGATCCGAGACTGCTATAACATGAAATATATGCAGGTAAAACAGATCAGGGGACAATTCTCCCCCAAGAAGTTCAGTCACAAATTTAATTAACACATTTTTTTTTCTTTTTACGAGCGTCATCAGCATGGGAGCATGTCTTCTGGAATGATGGCCGAAGCATAAAGGGACATATGAATGTTTAGCATATCTGGCACGTAAATACCTTGCAATGCTGGCTACAAAAGCGCCATGCAAATGTCTGTTCTCACTTTCTGGTGACATTGTAAATAAGAAGAGGGCAGCATTATCTCCTGTAAATGTAAATACACTTGTTTGTCTTAGCGATTGGTTGAACAAGAAGCAAGACCGAGTGGACTTGTAGGCTCTGAAGTTTTACATTGTTTGTTTGTTTTTGAGTGCAGTTATGTAACAAAAAAAATCCACATTTGTAAGTTGCACTTTCACGACAAAGAGATTACACTGGTCTACAATTTTTGAGAAGTCG